AGCCTCGGTAGCCTCGGGAGGCGTGGCATGCACGTCGGGTCCATGCACGTCGATCACATCAGCGGGTGCAGGTGCAGCGACGGGTTCCTGGGAAGATAAAAAGCATCATATGCGGGGAACAAGTCAGATGACAAATATGACAGGTCGTATTTCCGCACATGGACATAGGAAATCGGTTCATTAGATGGAAACGTGAGAGCATGCTCAAGAGAAGCAATGTCAACCGAGACACCGGGGTTGGAGTAAGGAAAAACTGTCTCATCGAAAACAACAACACGAGAAATATAGATCCTCCCCGATGTGTGATCAAGCTTGCGAGCATTGTACTTGCGGAGACTAGGCCAACAAGCACACCCAAAAATCTGCAGAGAGGAATAATTGGGCTGAACATGAAACAAGCGGAATAAGGGCGCGTCCTTGTTGAGAACCGGAGTGGGCATACAGTTGATGAAATAACATGCCATAAGAAAGGCCTCATCCCAAAACCTGAGTGGGAGAGACGAGTGCGCAAGTAAGGCAAGGCCAGTCTCGACCAAATGACGGTGTTTGCGCTCGGCAATACCGTTCTGTTGGGATGTATGTGGACATGACACATGGTGAGAGATGCCCGTGCGTTGAAAGTAGCGATGGAGTTTGTGGTATTCACCACCCCAATCGGATTGAACCACCTTGATTTTGCAATCCAAAAGGCGTTCGACGTGAGCCTGAAAATTATAGAAGACTTGCTCAACATCAGATTTCTGTTTAAGCAAATAAATCCAAGTGAAACTCGTGTAGTCATCAACAAAACTAACATAGTACTTGTACCCCCCCTCCCCCCAAAGACGCAATAGCGGGACCCCAAACATCTGAATGTATTAATTCAAGAGGTACATTAGTGACATGATAAGACGTAGAATACGGTAGTTGATGACTCTTAGCACGCTGACAGGCATCACACACTAATGGTGAATTATTTGAACTAGAACACTGAAGGTCATGGCTCCGAATAATGAAGGTGACCACATTATTGGTAGGGTGACCTAAACGCTGATGCCATTGCGATGATGAAATGCGGACACTGGATGAAGCATGGTGAGATGACGAGGACGATGCACGAGCAAAGGGAATCGAGTAGACCCCCCCACGACTGCTACCTTGAAGAATGATGCGCCTGGTTGCTTTGTCCTTAACAAAGAAAAGACGACGGTGAAACTCAACAAACACGTCATTATCACAAATAAGGCGATAGACAGAAAGAAGATGCTCTTTGATGTGTGGACCATGAAGGATGTTGCGCAGTTTCAGGGATGAACCGGGTAAACGGGAATGACCAATATGTGAAATAGACAAACCTGCACCATTGGCCACCTGAACCTGGTCCTTGCCATCATAGCGCTCATGAACCTGGAGACGTTCAAGACCACTCGTCAGGTGATCCGTAGCCCCGGTGTCCAGTACCCAAGGAGAGTCGACGGTGTTGGTGGAGGCCGAGTTGGCGAAGCGAGTGTTGTGGTCTTGGTCATATCGCTTGTGGCAATCATCAGCCTCATGACCCCAGCTTTTGCAAATCTGACACCTGGGACACCAGCGATTGTTGCGACGGCCACCACCACCGTTGTTACCACCGTTACCCCTGCCACCTTGCCGACCGTTGCTGTTGTAGCCGGGGTTGCTGTCGCGGCCGCCGTTGGGGCCGCCATTGCCGCCTTGACGACCTTGCCCGGGCGGGCCACTCCCATCGGCCGGGGCAACCCCCACCCTGGAAGGGGTAGGGCTCCGAGTATGGAGCACGTCCGCCATTGTCGTGGGGGGCTGAGCGGGTTACGGCGTTGGCAGAGGGAGTCCACCGCTGCATTGCACTCTGCTAAGCCTGTAACGCTTCGAACGACAAAACGAGCAAGTAGAAGCTGGAGTAGGGCATAAGTGCGTTACTCACACCCAGGGAGGCGGCGATGGAGTTGTAGGCGGAGCCGAGTCCTGTGAGGATGTGGTCATTGAGCTCATCATCACGGACCGGAGAGCCGACGACGGCCATGGTGTTGGCGAGGGACTTCATCTTGTGCATGTACTTAGCCGCAGACATCTCCTCCTTCCTCAGCGTCTGGAGTTGACGCCGGATGTGACGGACGTTGGCGCGGCTCTGCGCACCGTACATGGCACCGACGGCCGTCCATACAGCCCGCGCCGTCTCGCAACTAATAAGCTGACAGGCGATATCCTCCTCCATGGAGGTGAGGAGAAGGCCCTTGACCTTCTGATCCTGAGTCCACCGGTGGTGGTACGCCGGGTTAGCGAAGGTCGTCGCGGCATCGCCAGTGCCCACGGCGATGGTCTTGTCGGGTGCCGCCGTGGTGCCGTCCAGGTATCCGTGGAGGTTGGCGCCGGCGAAGACGGTGCCGGGATGCCTCCCGATAACATGAAGTTGTGGCGGCCGAGGTGGACGAAGATTGCAGGGACGGCAAGGGCGGCGAAAAACGTGGCAGCCGTGGGCGAGGTGATGGCGCCGACGTTGTTGGAGAGGGAGAGAGCAGCAGACGACATCGCCACAGCGCGGAGAAGGGCGGCGCGCCGCGGTGGAGAAAACGAACTCGCGGCGGCGACGACGCGGAAGGGTGGCGGCGTGCGGCGGATAGGTCGCGGCGGCGATGACGCAGAAGAGTGGCGGCGCGCGGCGGCTGCGGCGAATAGGTCGCGGCGGCGGCGGCGCGGAAGGGTGACAGCGCGCGGCGGCTGCTACGGATGGATCGGGGCGGCGGCGTGGGGTTTGCTCGGCGGCCCTCTTGGCTATCTGATACCAAGTTAGAGAGGTAAGTTTAGGGTTTTGCGTGGGTGATACATCCACCTCACGTCTCACTATGATCAGGTTACATATGTATACATGTATAAATACAATATATGCAAATTAGACCCTATTTTACAGTTATGACAACCAATGTAACATATTGCATATTTAGATTACAAAACTGTTCCACACACGACAAACTCTGGGTGATTTGTGCACGACTAGAGAATCCAACGGCCGTTGCTTGGCTGTGGACAAGATTCCTCTGCTCGATTGAATCGTCGTCCACAAATCGTCCAAATATTATCGTCTCGTCGTCCACAAATCGTCCAAATATTATCGTCCCCATAGCACTGCTCTTTATAGTATACTAGGACGGAGTGAGTACTTAACTTATGAGATGTTATTGGAGCTTTCGCCTATTTCAAAGATGTATTGCAAAATCGTTATATTGTTTACATGTTTTTTGCCCTGAACAAAGGTAAATTCCCTTGCAGAAAAATCTCAACATTACTACCATGATACAGCGTATTCAAACACTGCTACTTGGATTCATTATACGAAGTATCATGGTAGAAACTATCAGATTTGCTGGCTGTCAGATGTGCTGCAGTGAACGCATTTTCAGCTACACACAGCCATTAAGCTATACAATGCCATGGGAATATTCTTTCATGTACAGGGGATATGAAACGTATGGTAACAAGATGTAAATTATTTGCAACTTGGTGGGTTTGTACACTTAAAAACACTAGAGGCTGGTTGCTTATATTCAGGTATACTGGCAGGATCAACGGCTCGGACCTCACCCGGCTGAAAGAACAGGCTGTCATGCCTGCAGAAGTTGCATCATTAGTCAGTTAGTCAGGATATGTTTCCCTTCTATTTTTGAACCATGCAGGAGGGCTGCATGTATCATACTCCCTCCATTCCTAAATATAAGTCTTTTTAGAGATTCCACTACAAACTACATACGAATATATAGACATATTTTAGAGCGTAGATTCACTCATTTTGCTCCGTATGTTGTCTATAGTGGAATCTCTAAGAAGACAAGAATTTTGGGACGGAGGGAGTAGTATTTAGGAACGGAGGGAGTACTTAAGATAGAGAGATACAACCGACCAACAGTTCAGATGATCCAGCTTACTACAGCCACTAAACGACCACAAAACTCAAAACTAAAATATATAGCCAGGATATGTTTCCCTTCAATCAGCAACTATTTATGGTGTATGTTTATGCATCGAAGGGAACGGAAATCCAAATGTCTGATGCAAGTAGTTTGTCCACAGGAAGTCTTTCTGATAAGCTTGCAAAATGAAGTGGAGTTGACAAGGATTAGTTTTTACCTCCGCAGGTCCAGTCCTATCAACCCAGCTTGAAGAATTGACAAGTTGTCAGAATCTGGTGAAACGATGACAACAGTATCCCCTGAGTACTGAGTCTCTAGTATTGACATGAGCTGTGTTACCCGAACAAATACATCCGCCACGCTCTCGTTAGGTGTACCATCATAAGTAGGAGGTGGTTTGATGTCCGGCGAAATATTATCAGACGCATACACCTAAATCCATCACAATAAAGGAAAACTCAATCATGATAGGAACAAAATCTATTAAACCAAAATTATCTGTATCTGTTGCACCGGATCATGTTGAGCCTGGGAAACATAACTCGGGCGATACATTATGTTCAAACCGAGAATATTCTCCCTCCAGGATACTCATTTGCCCACTAGCGTATGTCCACCTATGAAAATACTACTAATCTCACTGGTTAGCTACCAGTAACTTCAAACAGGCATGGAAACTTGCCTAATGATAAAAATGGCAACATGACTTTTATGTCAGGATGTACTGTTTCTCTAAATTAGTTCTCAGAATTCACAGAGGCCACATCCTGTTCTTAATCCATGTTTGTAAACCTATCTTATTTTCAAATGAGCCCATCTGTCTGTAGAGATTTAGTAGATTCACACATTCTATTAGGCTGATCTAGAACCAGTGACTGTTGCTGCCTTCCTGGCAAGCAGAATTTCACTAATCCTTCGTATTTCAGTTTTGCAATGTACACCTGCAAGGTCAGTGCACTCCAATTTCTAAAGTTCATTCGTTGTAATAATATATTCTGAAATTTCTCCAGAAACTAAGGTACCAACATCTTTGATTAAATATACTGGATATCTGTGAGCCCTCAGCTCAGTTGTTCTTCTAATACTCGATGTAAGTAAGTGCTAGTAGAATTTAGCTTGGAGCTCGAAAGATCGGATGAATAATACCTCTGGCAATGCTTCTAACTTCTTCCCCTCGTACGCACCCAGCCCCCGCGCGTCCAAGAAGCTATACTCCGGCACGATTTTACTTCGCATCAAGTAACCAACAATCTCAGTGCAGGATCACTGACCGACCGGTCATACTCATGTAAAATCAGGAAATATAGCCCACGAGGATGTGGATAGACAGGCACCTGCGGTTGATGCTGTTGGCGGCAGCGATGATCTCGGCGGCCTGGTAGGCGCGCTGGGTGATGGAGGGCCATATCCAGCAGTCGTCCTCGCATGCACCAAGGCGGCGGAGCTCGAGCGCGGCGCGCGCGGCCTGGCGGAGGCCGGCGGGGGAGAGACCGCTGTCGACGGAGGTCTTGGCGACGGGGTTGGTCCGGAGGAGTCCCTGCCCCTCGTACACCGACTCGCCAGCGCGCACGAGGAAGTAGCGGTTCGCCAGCCCCGGCGGCGGCATGCGGAACAGCCCGCGCGCCGAGGCGGCCGCCGGAGAGAGCGAGAGGGGAAGAGGCGACGCTGAGAGCAAGAGGAGGTCCCGGCGACGGAGAGAGGGGAAGGCGACGTGCGGGGGCGGGGGTGTAGACGGCGGCGCGGAGGGGGCCCGAGAGGACGGAGCGGAAGACAGAGAGGTGGTTTGCATTTCCGGACGCCCGGCGGAGCGAGCACTCGCCGGACTTGCGACTTGGCAGCTCCAACGATTGGAGTGAAAATATCCGTTTTCCGAGTATTTTCTAGCGTTCTCGTCGACCTCTCGCCAACATAACAGAGTGAACGGACAACAGGCAACGACTCTGTGCGGGCTTCTTCGGATGAAAATCAATTATTTTTTTTGAAAAACGGTTGAAAATCAAATAGGCACGAAAAATAAATTCAGAAATTTTAACAACACTAACACAACTAAAATTTTATGTCTAATTTTTTTCTGAATTTTTTTTAACACATCACAGATGCAGACGCTCATACATACGCTCACTCCTATGAACGCATACACGACATCATACATGTATGAGCACCTCTGAGAGACTGAGCCGACACATCATGTTGACATTGACGAAGTCGTCAGAGACGCTTTTATAGTTGAGGAGAACGTCTCATCCACTAAACGTACATTACCAAAATGACTGAAATGAATCTGGAAAAATGTGATCATCAATCAAGTCTAGATCTTGATCCCTAATGGGTTGGGAATACCATTGTTCTCCTAACTATCCAGTCATATGTTGAAATTGACTAAGAATAGTGGGTGTACTACAATTCCTCAAATTTTAAGGCATGTACTACAACAGTGTCTAATGTAAGAGTTGCCACATATATAATTTAGTAACGTCCGTGGAAGGGGGAATCACCCCCGCCGGACTCTCTTCTGCCATGGAACTTATGACCGGAGACCCAGATGCGGTTTTCGACTCGCCTCTGGACAATAGCTCCGAACTATCAAAGTCTGCGTCGATCGGGCCCGATCATGTGTCTGTCGCCGAACTTATCCCTGCAGATCCGCGAACTCTTACCCAGCTTTCACCCTTAGATGAAGCACTGGGTTTAATGTGATCTCTCGCCATTACGGAAGAATTGCCTCCGAGATGCACCCAGCATATGCTGGGGGCTGGGAGCGGGGAATTTTATGACCCGCCCACCACCCACTTAATAGCCACTGTCGAGGATTTAACCGACATGCTGGACTACGCGTCCGAAGACATCGACGGTATGGACGACGATGTTGACGCCGAATCAGGCCAAGTCCCACCCATCACAGGGCGCTGGACGGCCACTTCAACCTATGACGTATACATGGTGGACACTCCTGATAAAAAGGACGACGAGGATAATCAGAACACTGACGAGGACAAGCCTGTCGATAAACCACCAAAGTGCCGACGTCAGCGGTGCCGCTCACGACCGCGTCGGGCAAAGGATAGTAATATCGACACCGGTGATAATGAAACCTGGGATAGTGTCGAAGATCCCGAACACCCCGTCGAGCCCACATCCGAACAGGATGAGAGGGGGAGGATCAGTATAACCCCGAATGCGCTGATCAGGAAGATTCAGAAGACAACAATTATATGCCAGTCTCCGAGGAGGATGTTAGCCTCGGTGACGAAGATTTTATCGTCCCAGAGGAACCCCTTGAGCAGGAACGCTTCAAGCGACAGCTCATCGCCACAGCACGGAGCCTGAAAAAGAAACAACAGCAGCTCAAAGCTGAACAGGATACGCTCAATGAAAGGTGGACCAAGGTCCTGGCCGCCGAGGAGTACGACCACGAGCGACCTACCAAAAGTTACCCCAAGCGCAAACTGTCGCCATAATTGACGGCGAAGCCTTCGATCCAATACCATCGAAATACAATCAGGAAAATCAACCAGACTGACCACCACGTGGACGGGGTAAAGCGGCATATCAAGCTGAACACTAGCCCGCACCCCCTCGCCGAAGAGTCAAGGAGACAACAGCTGTGGGTTACACATATGACTTGCAACGGGACCTGGCTAATAAAGCCGGTCAGACCAGATTAATCTATGGGTAATGAGGCCGTGCCCCGGCATGAGATAACGGCTATGAAGTCCGGCGTGATGAACATTACAATATTCGGGATCAGAACCAAACTCAGATGTCATCCAATCTCTGTCATGATGTCGCACGATACACGGGTGCCGCACACCCTATGTGCTTTACTGATGAGGTAATACGGCACCAGTTTCCAGAAGGTTTTAAACCCATGAACATCGAGCAATATGATGGAACGACGGCCCCAAGCCGTCTAGATTGAAGATTTTCTTCTCCACATTCATATGGCTCATGGAGATGACCTCCATACCATTAAATATCTTCCTCTAAAGCTGAAAGAACCAGCACGCCACTAGCTGAACAGCCTCCCAGAAAACTCCATTGAAACCTGGGAAGATTTGGAAGATGCTTTTCGGGCCATCTTTCAGGGCACTTATGTCCGGCCACCGGATGCGGACGACTTGAGTCACGTAATCCAGCAACCAGGTGAATCGGCTCGCAAGCTTTGGAACCAATTCCTAATTTAAAAGAACCAAATCATGGACTGTCCAAACGCCGAAGCCTTAGTGGCCTTCAAACACGGCATCTGGGATGAATGGCTCGCCCGACACCTCGGGCACGAGAAGCCGAGGACCATGGTAGCCTTAACTGGACTTATGACCTGCTTCTGTGCGGGTGAAGATAGCTGGTTGGCTCGTAGAAGCAACAGCTCCGGTGACCCCGACACTTCTGAGGCCAGGGATGGCAATGGTAAACCACGCCGCAATGAAAACAAACGTCAGAGCAACAATGACGACGCAGATGATACGACAGTCAATGCCAGATTCAGTGATTCTAAATCCGGTCAGCGGAAGAAACCTTTCAAAGGCAATAGGGACGGTCCATTGATACGTCCATTTTGCATCATGCTTTTATATCGATATTTATTGCATTATGGGTTGTTATTACACGTTATGTTACAATACTTATGCCTATTCTCTCTTATTTTACAAGGTTTATATGAAAAGGGAGAATGCCGACAGCTGGGATTCTGGGCTAGAAAAGGAGCAAATATTAGAGACCTATTCTGCACAACTCCAAAAGTCTTGAAACTCCATGAAAGTCATTTTTGGAATTAATAAAAAATATTGAGTGGAAGAAATACCAGAGGGGGGCCACCCACCGTCCACGAGGGTGGGGGGCGTGCCCCCTGCCTCATGGGCCCCCTGGCAGGCCTCTGGTGACCATCTTCTGCTATATGAAGTCTTTTACCCTAAAAAAATCATAAGCAAGCTTTCGGGACGAAACACTGCCGCGACGAGGTGGAACCTTGGCGGAACCAATCTAGGGCTCCGGCAGAGCTGTTCTGCCGGGGAAACATCCCTCTAGGAGGGGGAAATCATCATCATCGTCATCACCATCGATCCTCTCATAGGGAGGGGGTCAATCTCCATCAACATCTTCACCAGCACCATCTCCTCTCAAACCCTAGTTCATCTCTTGTATCCAATCTTTGTACCAAAACCTCAAATTGGTACTTGTAGGTTGCTAGTAGTGTTGATTACTCCTTGTAGTTGATGCTAGTTGGTTTATTCGGTGGAAGATCATATGTTCAGATCCTTAATTCATATTAATACCCCTATGATTATGAACATGAATATGATTTGTGAGTAGTTACGTTTGTTCCTGGGGACATGGGAGAAGTCTTGCTATAAGTAGTCATGTGAATTTGGTATTCGTTCGATATTTTGATGAGATGTATGTTGTCTCTCCTCTAGTGGTGTTATGTGAACGTCGACTACATGACACTTCACCATTGTTTGGGCCTAGAGGAAGGCATTGGGAAGTAATAAGTAGATGATGGGTTGCTAGAGTGACAGAAGCTTAAACCCTAGTTTATGCGTTGCTTCATAAGGGGCTGATTTGGATTGATATGTTTCATGCTATGGTTAGGTTTACCTTAATACTTCTTTTATAGTTGCGGATGCTTGCAATAGGGGTTAATCATAAGTGGGATGCTTGTCCAAGAAATGGCAGTACCCAAGCACCGGTCCACCCACATATCAAATTATCAAAGTAACGAACGCGAATCATATGAGCGTGATGAAAACTAGCTTGATGATAATTCCCATGTGTCCTCGGGAGCGTTTTCCTTCATATAAGAATTTTTCCAGGCTTGTACATTGCTACAAAAAGGATTGGGCCACCCTGCTGCACACTATTTACTTTCGTTGCTTGTTACCCATTACGAATTATCTTATCACAAAATTATCCGTTACCTATAATTTCAGTGCTTGCAGAGAATACCTTACTGAAAACCGCTTGTCATTTCCTTCTGCTCCTCGTTGGGTTCGACACTCTTACTTAACAAAAGGACTATGATAGACCCCCTACACTTGTGGGTCATCGAGACTCTTTTCTGGCGCCATTGCCGGGGAGTGAAGCGCCTTTGGTGAGTGGAACTGGGTAAGGAAAAATTTATATAGTGTGCTGAAATTTACTGTCACTTGTTACTATGGAACATAATCCTTTGAGGGGCTTGTTTGGGGTATCTTCACCTCGACCAGTAGAGCAAAGAGTTGCTCCTCAACCTACTGAACCTACTGAAAATGTTTACTTTGAAATTCTTTCGGATATGATAGAGAAATGAGTAGCTAATCCTTTTACAGGAGATGGAACATTGCATCCTGATTTGCATCTAATCTATGTGGATGAAGTTTGTGGATTATTTAAGCTTGCAAGTATGCCCGATGATGTTTTCAAGAAGAGGTCTTCCATTTATCTTTGAAGGGAAAGGCATTGACATGGTTTAGGCTATGTGATGATATGGGATCATGAAACTACAAATGATTGAAATTGGAATTTCATCAGAAGTTTTATCCTATGCATCTTGTTAATCGTGATCATAATTATATATATATATATTTTGGCCTCGCAAAGGAGAAAGCATCGCTCAAGCTTGGGGGAGGCTTAAGTCAATGTTATATTCATGCCCCAATCATGAGCTCTCAAGAGAAATGATTATTCAAAAAAATTATGCTCGGCTTTCTCTCAACAATCGCTCCATGCTCGATACTTCTTGTACTGGTTCTTTTATGATGAAGACTACTGAATACAGATGGGATTTATTGGAAAGAATTAAACGCAACTCTG